TGCTGGAGCTTGCCTCATTTCACCCAGATCACTGAGGAAGGGTGAGGGAAGGAAGAAGGAAAGATGAGGAAAGAGAGAGGGTGGGGGAAGAGAGAGGGACGGGAAGGGCGAGGGTGAGATAAGGAAAGAAGGAAGGGTGATGGAAGAAGGATAATGGAAAGGAGAAGGAAAGCTGGGATGGATGACGGGAAACAGCGAGGAGGAAGGGGGTGAGGGATGAAGGAAGTAAAGGGGATAAGATTATGAAGGAAATGAGAATAAAGGAAAGATGGATGGATTGTGTATTATCAGTTGCTTCCCTTATTTTTGTATTTTATTTTATTTTTGGTACTATTATTTTTGTTTTAGATCTATCTCCTTTCCCTTATTCATCTAACACTTTAAGTCATCGTGCTGAAGGGGTTAAGTCATCGTGCTGAAGGGGTTAAGTCATCGTGCTGAAGGGGTTAAGTCATCGTGCTCAAGGGATTAAGTCATCGTGCTCAAGGGATTAAGTCTTCGTGCTCAAGGGATTAAGTCATCGCGCTCAAGCTGTTAAGTCATCGTGCTCAAGGGGTTAAGTCATCGTGCTCAAGGGATTAAGTCATCGTGCTCAAGGGTTAAGCTCGTAGTATAGGTTAATACACACACACACACACACACACACAATCACCAAACATTAAATCGTACAAGAGATGCATTTCCTCCTCTCAGTGATACAATGTAGACGCTGGGATAATCACTCCCTCAGGTAACTGCATTGTGCTTTCAGAATCCTCCCGTTAATTAATGTTCTTAGTGCCTCACCTGTTCCTCTCCCTTGTATTACATTACCGTGAACTTCGTCTCTTCCATTATCCTCTTTCTTGACTCATTTTACGGCATCCAGTTCTGTTTTATTCACAGTGACATTTTAAAAGAGACTCTCCTTCTCTTAACATTCTTCTACTGTACTGTATGATTTCACCTCAATATACAAACTTTCTTAACAATTCTCCCGCAAACTCTTCAATCAGAACAACATCTTTCTTCATACGTGTCATGGTGTTGGATAGTTACCCAGTCTGACACGTAACTCCATGATGAAGTCAGGTAACCAGGGTAGCCTAGTACTACTGTATATACCACAAATATGCCCCGACTCATTTCACAACACTTCACTCATTCATACCGCTCACTCATACCAGTCACACGTACCACTCGCATATATACAATCTGTGGAAATTCAGCTCAAGTAAATATTCCGTATGCGAGTCTGAATCAGATTAAAGTTGAGGTTGTGTTGGGCTGTGATACCTGGAGGCGACTACAACACGGGGATGAAAGGTTCGTGACATTGCTTACACTGCCCATTCGCGTGGCCCATCCGTAGAGAGAAAGCACTCTGAAAATCCATATACATGTACAATACTACATTATCTCTCTATATAAAATGAATTCCCTTTATCACAACCACACGAATAAATATGGAAATTAACTTTGAGGTTTGTTATATGATTTTAGTTGTGTGTTTTTTATTTCAATTTTTATATATAAACAATTGGATCCTGTGGGGTTTCATGCACCATTGGTTATAAATTTTGTGAACTGTGATATGGAATGGAGTGTTTATTTTGTCTGTTGTTGTTGTTTATTCTGTGGTTGTTATGATACAGTAGGTTCAAGATTGCAATAGTAACACGAAATAATACAGTTACGTTATTACAGCTCCTCAGGGTTCCGTGTTCTGAGATGGTTTGTTTTTTGCCTTTTCCTTCATCGTCATTTTATCTTCTGTTTCGTTCTCGTTGTCTTCATCTCTCTCTTTGTTGTCTTCATCATCGTCTTCGTTCACTTTCTCATTAACGCCACGTCTTCAAGTCTTTACCAGGTTCAGTCTTTATCTCCTTCAGTCTTTATCACCTTCAGTCTTTATCACCTTCAATCTTTTATCACATTCAGTATTTACCAGGTTCAGTCTTTATCCCATCAGTCTTTACCAGGTTCATTCTTTATCCCATCAGTCTTTATCACCTTCAGTCTTTATCCCATCAGTCTTTACCAGGTTCAGTCTTTATCCCATCAGTCTTTACCAGGTTCAGTCTTTATCCCATCAGTCTTTATCACCTTCAGTCTTTATCCCATCAGTCTTTACCAGGTTCAGTCTTTATCACCTTCAGTCTTTATCGCCTCTAATCTTTACCAGGTACCTTCAGTCTTTATCACCTCTAATCTTTATCAGGTTCAGTCTTTATCTTCAGTCTTCGCCAGGTTCATTCTTTATCACCTTCAGTCTTTATCAGGTTCAGTCTTTCGTTAAGAGTTTCGCCTAAAATTTCCAAGTTTATTTTTTTACGTATAATTCAACTTATTGCAGCGTTAAATTAAACTCTAAAACTTTTATTATTAATGAAAATAATATACATCAAACCTTATTTATGCCACGTAATTACATCTATTTAACAGGTCTATAAAAGTCTAATTAATCTTTCATTTTAGGTAATCAGAACAATTACGAACCTTCATTAATACTGAATAGTTACACCTGGATGATATATTGTCCTAATCGTATATTTAAACAATTAGTTATTCATTTTCTATCGTCATTTGTTGTTTTGTTTTGTTTTAAGAAAGTTATTAAGTTTATTCACCGATATAAATGTTTTAATATCTTGTTCAAACTTTTTTCTTCACTGTATAATATTGAAGTTATAACGATTTTTGGTAATTATGTTTCAGTGGTCATTTACTCGTGATGTGGCTGAAGTGTTTGTGTTATTGCCTCTTTCTTCTGTTTCTATCCTATTTACTTCTTTTATCCTCTTCTTCCTCCGTTCTTCCTCTTTTTCTCCCGTGATCTCCTCTTGTTCCCATCTTGTCTCCTCTCTTTTCTTACCTTCTTCCCTCCTCCTCTTTCTTTCCCATCCTCTCTTTTCCTCTTCCTCATGGCTGTGTTGTCAACCAGATGCTCCTGACAAAGTACAGTAGTAGCTGATTCCTTCCTTTTCCTGCCGTCCCCTGCCTGACCCTCCCCCTGCCTGGCCTGACCCCCCCCCCCCTCCTCCCCCCCTCCCCTCCCCCACTGAATATACTTAAAGCTGTACCGGCACTTGAGCGCCCTACTTACTCGTTCATTAAATCTTAATACATCGTCCCAGCTGAAATACGGAACACGCAATTCTGTTTTCTTATTTTTTTCAATTAATTTTTCGAAATTGTTTTACTTAGTGTACTCGCCCAATTGAGAAAACAAAAATAGTTTACTCGGACGTATTAAATATTTTAGGTCCACTGTGTTTGTTTAGATTCCTATATCGCTGGTTGGAGCTCGTCAGGTTAGGGTTTGTTTGTGGTTTGTTTGTTAGTCAGGTGTTAGTTGGTGGGTTTGTTTGTTAGTCAGGTGTTAGTTGGTGGATGGGTGGGTGTTGGATTAGTTACAATACCCAAGTTTGTTAGTGAGTTAGGAGAGCATTACAGAGCCAAAGTTAATGAGAGCCTTATTTTATTTGTTAGCAGTTACTAGCATAGTTAAAGGTAATCACAAGAGGTCTGAGTATTCTAATACGGAGGTATATAGAGCCTCAGTTACGTACATAGTATGGAAGATGACAGAGACCATCTTGAAGAAATTTTCTCACCTCAGATGAATGTAGATGCCCACGATCCAACAACAGCAAAGGTACCAACGAAGTGAGTTAGGCATAGCACAAACCACAAAGGCATTTCCAACACTCCAACAGCACCAAATGCACCATCAAAGGCGAGAGTGGTCCATGGTTCAATGCAGAGGTGTGCTAACCCTATGGAACGCGTGGGAAGGTAGTGAAGGAAACGACAGTGGTGCCGCAAAGCTTACGTACGCCAGACACGTAGAGAAAATATACTGAGGCTATACAAGGGTTAAATACCTTACTGGGAGGCTGTACACGAGTGAACGGTGGTAGCATACACAAGCGTACGTGCAGGTGTGTGTGTGTAGGGGTGTGTGTGTGTGTGGTGTTTGTATATGAGTGTGTGCATGTCTGTCTGCCTGTGGGTGTGGTGTGTGGCTGGGAGGGGATGTATACGCCAGTACATCAGTGAAGGAGCATACACAACAACAACACTACCAATTACAGATCACAAACAAAACCCTACAGGCGATCTTCCAACCCACTGAATTGTTCGCCCTAACTGTTATTCTCAGCAGCTGTCCTACCCCCTTGACTTGGCTATATTTTTTTTACCCTCTGCCACTCCCGTCATACCATCCACAATACACTCTTTTATGTACTATTTTTTTTAATCCACTCCAACGAGAAAGTTTGTTAAGCTGTAGTTTCCCCCAAGTGACTTGCTGTGTTCCGGAGAGATTTTTGTTTTATTTTTGCTGGCAACACTGAGAGAAAGTTTACCAAGCAAATATATAAACGTTAAACCTTTAGGATATTAACTGTATGTGTGTAATTGTACTGAAGTGTGTGTGTGTGTGTGTGTGTGTGTGTGTGTGTGTGTGTGTGTGTGTTGAAACAGTTTATTTAGCCAGAACACAGATACAGTCAATTAAAAATCTTAATATTAGCTCTTCATATTTCATTCTTTGTTTTTTAACTGTGGTGATTATTTCTAATTTCTCACGTGACGTCATGTGACCTCATATGACCTCATTTGACTTCCTGTGACATCTTATAACCATTCTATAATTTCGAGTCACAGAATGCAATATAATATTAATTTGTGTAAGGGTAAGGAGTGTTTTGGACAGTTTATTGACCTTTTTTGACCGTGTCTTTGTTTTGACCTGTCGTGACCTTATATATGACGTCGTGACTGATGTGACCTAATACATGAACTATTTTTATACTTGAAGAATCGGTTAAAGTGACCTTGTTTTGACCTGTCGTGACCTTGTGTGACTGGTCTGACCTAATACATAAACTTTTATTAACGTTGAAGGGTCGGTTAAATTGACCTTGTTTGACCTATCATGACTTTTTATATGACGTTGTGACTGGTGTGATCTGTCAACCTCGAATGACTTGTTCTGTTGGTTGTTGTTACAGGTTGTGGTCATCAGGGTGTCGTTCCAGGTACCAGGGGTTCTGCGGGAGGATCAAGTATGCCAAGCGACCCTTCTGCTGTATAGGTAAGTCCCGCGGTGGTTGGCCACGCCCTATGAGGCAGTTCCTTTGTCTCTTTAATGGTAGTGCCTAGTATATTGGTCTGACCATTGTGTATGAGGCAGCACCATGTCCTTTTAAGAGGAATGGAAATGGGTAGTTTAATGGTCAGGCCCTTTAATGGTCAGGCCCTTCAATGGTCAGGCCCGTGTGTATAGGGCAGCCCCTTAACTAGGCAAATATCTAAGGTGGAAGTTAATGTGAAGTGAAAGTCCCGTATCTTTGTCCAGTGTTTATCAGGCAGCTCCAAGTGTAAGTCGAGTACATAGACTTACACCCAGTTTTTAGATGTAAATAATCCTCATATGAATAGATCAATATACCTTAATCTGTGCACTGTATTAGGTAACCCATTGTTTACATATAGTCTCCCCCAACTAGAATGAATCCTTGTGTTTATGTTTCATTCTATTATGTATACCTGACTTTGTATAGGTCGACCCTCTGCTTGTAATTCACCCTCACGTGTAAATTTGTCTGTGTGTTAAATTTAAAGTTGAAATATATTGCACAGTTCTAATTCATGTATATATTTCACGACTTGGTGGTGGTATATTCTCGCTAAGATGTAATATTTCTCACTGTATATGTATCTCAGAATCCTTAAGTGTTCGTAAATCTTAATCTATAAAAACCGAAGACGTGTTTACATTAAGGAGTTCATTTTAGGGGTTCATAGTTGGCACGAGACTGTTATTTAGGACTGCGTGTGTATAGGAGACGTTAATAGTGTGTTTGTGTGTAAAGGAGACGTGTGTGTGTGTGTGTGTGTGTGTGTGTGTGTGTGTGTGTCAAAAGATTCTCCGTTGTACCATAAAGGCCCAGATTCATATAGCCACAGGAGAGTGCAGGCAAAATGGCTGTTCCTTTCATACACGTCTTGTGAATAAACAGTTGATGAATGGAGAGCTAGCGAATGAATAGCTCATGAATGATACTGCTGGTGAACCAACACCTTACTGAAGTATTCATCAACCGTTCACTGGGAAACATTACTCTTCATACAGTAAGTCGTCTGCCATTAAAGTTTGAAATCAATAGACCACGTAATAAACAATCCCAGCATAAGGAGTAATGTGTGGGCTGCTCTGCTATACCAAAGACTGTTTTACATAGGTCACAGACAGTCGGTAACTAATTAGAATAAACAACCCGAGGATACAGAACAGTGATTGGTTACATTAATTAGTGTTATCCACGCAGCGTGCATATGTCCATTATCTTCTGCAATAAACCTTACAGTTAGAATAAAGTCCCCCTTGGATATCGACCCATGATTGGTTGCAGTATTCCGTCCGACGACATAAGTCTTTGGTCAACAACTCCCTTGACTCGCCGCTCATTGATGTCTCGTATTTAAGTTTCGAAAACCATCATTAGTCGTGTATTTTGAAGTTGATGTCTCGGGGGAACAACAACAACGTGCGTCATACGTCAGTGTTTGTGGTTATTATGTTCTACCAAGTCAATATTGAGCAGAAGCTGGTGTCTCTTGAACTCGGCGCCTTTTGAATGGCGACGATCCGACTCTTGGCTGAACCGCTGTAAGAAAACCTGCCCTGAAAAGAAATATATAAATAAACCGTTTAATAGGAGACTCAGGATGAAGTAACGACCATCAGTCTGATCTGCTGGACACCGACACTTGGCAGTAGTTCATATCTCTGCACCACACCATCTGAACAGGTTAAGCACTGTATAGACAATACTTTATGCTCATGTAAAGATTAATAAATACATTTCCTTAAATTTAATGCTCGTTATCCTTGGAGTAATAATAATAGTCTGGTATCCCCGTATAGTGAAGGTATGAGGGCTTGAGCTGCCACCATTTATGAGGGCCTGAGCTGCCACCATTTATGAGGGCTTGAGCTGCCACCATGTATGAGGGCTGCTACTGCCACCCTTCATGAGGGCCTGTGTGCCAGTAACAATTCCTTTTACTCTTATATATCACCATTGGTAGCGTGACGATAGGAGGCTCGTGGGTAGGTGTAATGATAGTATCAAGCAATAGGGAAGAAATAACGGTAGATACTGTAGGTAAATAATATACACAATTATACAGATACAAAGTTTATTTAAACATGAATATGAAATTAGAAGAAAAAATTGGTTTGTACTAACAGACGAAATCTATTACTAGGCCCTCAGGCTCAACATACTCACACCATTACTGGGTGGACATATTCAATACCCTTCCAACCCTACTGGGTGGACATACTCAATAGCACAACTAGGATAGTCACTTAGCACCATACATATTAGAGCAACTGCCACTACAACACTCAGTCGTCAGGAGTGATACTCAAGCAACAGCCATGGGGTCCAGCCACCATGGAGTACTATCCGACGAACTCTGGAGATCCCAGTGGGTTAATTCCACCACACAAATATAGCCCTACTGAGGTAGACATTCATCCACCAATGATGGGGGCTGGTAGTGGTGTGTGGCTTGGTGGTCCAGGGTCACCTCGTGGACCGAGCGTTAGGGCCAGACGAGCCAGCTATGGGGGCTATAGGTGGTCTGAAGTGTCTGACGGCCGGGTCTCACGAAGGTAACTGATCCTACTGGACCTCGGACATGTCCCCAGACATAGTGGATACAACATCCACCCTACAGACACGGCCTAGGCTGCGTTAGGGACCTGTATGGATGAAGGGACGGGCACTTACTAACTGGTGACAACAACAACACGTTTCAGGGGACGTTAAAGACGTAAATATGACTTTACTCAGAGCATATCAACTACGTTACTGTAACACTTGCACAATCAACTATTAATTGGGTCAAATCACTTAAAGAAGGGCAAATTACAACACAGCGTGGAATGGCATACCTGTATGGATGAAGGGACGGGCACTTACTAACGGTTAAAATGCCCGCGGCGCCCTCACTCAAACTAGGCCAGGGAGTCCAGCTACTCCTATTCCAATGAATTAATTTACGGTACCCTCTGACGTTGAAATTGAGACTATGAACTCCTTTTCATTCTCTACTATTATCTTCACTAACAATGCTCTGACTCAGCTATCGAAAGCAAAATTAAATTGATTACAAAGGAATGGATGGCAACAGGTCCCAGCATACAGCGTCTGCTCCCATAGACAAAGGCGGGGGAAACAGAGAAAACGGGGGACGTTTCCACTGGAGGACTCGGAAGGTTTTGTGGACGTTTAAGCGTAATATGAATCCTTAAGGTTTTCAGGTTAGCTCTTATCATGACCATTACAAAGCTTCCTCCTTCCCCAAGATTCATCATTATGCGGTAACGTTCAGAAAACACGTAAGTAGTGACATGCATATTAAATCATTAATATAAAGTATAAATCCTCATACAAAACATTGCACAAATTATATCAATAAAACTAGAAAAATAATTCCCTACCGGTGGTCAGGATTAGGTACAAGAAATGGAAATCTGTTAACATACAATTAGAATGTGACACACCTTCATAAAAAATATATTGGGATACATATTACAAAATAGCACCAAAAATAATAGCACATGGGGTTAGGTACATCATGTCATAATAATACTGAATGGCGGTAAATACATCATATCATATAATAATAAATGGTGTTACATACATCATATCATATAATAATAAATGGGGTCAAGTACATCATCATAGAATAATAATGATTTGAGTTAGATACCTCATATCATATAATAATAATAATAAATGGTGTTACATGTTACAAAATACACCCTCACATCGGTAGATAAAATGCACACTCAAAATTTCTTACAGAACTCAAATTTCAATGTTCATAGATTATGAAAGTTTCTTTTACGCGATTGGTCAAATGCTGACAGGACACACTGAGATTTAACATAGATTTCTCAAGCTAGGACATAAACGAACGGACCCCATCAAGTCAAAGGAATGATTTGTTGCCCTTAATCTTAAGAGTTATGTCGCACTCGCGAGAGGCAGCACCCTTCAAAGGACTCCGAACGAGCGGGTATTCCCAAGAATTCAATGCTAACGAAACGGTCCTCATGAGAACACCACCAAACCAAAAACTGTCTGTACTTATGGCATTTGCCATGTAGAAGTAATAGCACCATATTTATATGCCCGAATACTCCCTGAAAGTCACGAACTCTACACCAATATACCAACAACCCCCAGCCTACGTAGGACTTACCAACCAGAACTTGAGAACTCACCACTGGTATCTTTACTCATACTAGTAACAGATACCCTTCAGATGATTGCATAACTGCCAATACATCTTCCAATCTCTGTCTTTACTGCAAATTGACCCTTCCTCTGCAAAATACTTTTAATAAAAAAAAAATCATCAGTTCTTTACCTATCCCTTTTCCACAGTTACTTATAACTGATTGTGCACTTCATTATCAACCAATGGGGGTCACTTAAAAGCTCACTGCTTTTAAAGATCCAGTCTCACCACTGGTTTTCTCATCCTTACGGGAAATCGGGGAGCAGGAGCAACTACTGTTCTCTCCTCATCCCGTATAGCATCTCTCTCATCAGGCTCTGATTCTGAGGAAGAATCATTAGGGGGAACCTGGATGTCATTTACATGGACAAACATATCTCTGTTGATACATCTTTTCACCTTTTCTGCGGCTCGTCGAATTACTTCTGTCTCATCTGAAAGGTGGGTTAACTCATACGCTGCACCATTACGTATTACTTCAGTTACTGTATATGGGCCCTTCCACTTAGCATTTAATTTTCTACTGGTACCTGGGATAGTAACTTCATCTCTCACCCAAACAGTTTCCCCTAGCTGTACTGTCTGATTGACTCTATCTCGGTTTGCTACGTTCCGGAATTCTCTAGACATTCGTTCAGAAGTTTCTTTAATTACTTTGTGAGCTTCTCTCAACCCTTCAGTACTCTCGTTTTCTATTATTGGTAACTCAATTCCCACTTGCCTCTGTGCATGCCGGGAGAAGAATGCGAAGTGTGGCTGCACTCCAGTCGT